GAAAGCGTGAAATCATCAACGAAACATAAAGCCGCAAATTCCCCTACCGAATGGGCCGTTTGAGTGGACACTCTGCAACGCATTCGGGCTACATACTTCTTATTGCAGCCCCAAGCAATGCTCGTTGCCTGTCTGAATGTCAGCCTCGAGGAACAAGTTCTTTGATGCCCGAGTCAGCCCCCCGACTGGGGTTCTGCGCCCCAGTCTGCTATGATGGGTCTAAGCTCAAGCTGTCTAAGCGTAGGCTCGACTCGAACTTTCGCTCGAACTTCCAAATGCGGTACACCGTCACTCCGAGTACTGACCGTTGTTCTTGCCTTTTGCGATTGTCCTCCGTGCTGTGGGAGGCCTGGACATGGGCACCAACACCAAGACAGAGGGCTGCCTCCACAGGGGGGAGGTGATCCTAGATTTCGGTGCTGGTGATAATATTTCGGCCACCTTGGAAGCCAGAATATTACCACCATCACCGAGAATGGGGCCCTCTTCCCCCGGTGGAGGCACACCGCCGAAATTGGTGTTGGTGTCAATCTCTGGGCCTGCGATGCTGGCAGACTCTCGGCAGCCAGGCCCCCCAGTGTGCGGGGTGTTGGGCAGCACCTCCGCATGGGGTCACGTCGTGCTTGAGCCATTTTCTTAAGCCGGGTAAGCAAAATCGAAAGCTGGGCGAGGGCTGCTAAAACCGTGGCTGTTAAAACGGCCCTCCCGGAATGAAAAAACAACTTCCCGGAATGAGGCGCGGCACGCGAAACAGTCAACGGGCTTCTTCCCGGAAGGACGAAGATAACTTCCCGGAGGTCGATTTTAGCAGCCACGGATTTAGCAGCCCTTGCCCGGCTTCCGACAAAAGCTGAAGAAACCGAGGCTGGGGTCCAGTCGATTGCAAGAGATGGGCAAGGAGGTCCCCAAGCAAACACAACACCAAGAGGTTTAGAGGCAGCTCGAGGATGCACAATATCACGCACCATGGACAAATTCTTCCATGGCACGGCTGTTGGATGATCAGTTGACGCCACTGCACAAAGACATTACGGCAATCAGAGAACTCAAAATTCCTATGCATCATCTCGAAGAAGCTTTTCGATCTGGGGCGCTGTTGCAGACATTACGCAGCGATTGGGAGCAATCGAGGCGACATCAACACATACACCCACAAACCACACCGCACCACTCTGTCGGTACAGCGGATAGCAGGGTGTCAGTCGAGGCTCGCTTGGCGGAGATGGAGGACATGCTGAAATACCTAACGGCGTCACGAGAGGCTTCGGAGTCAACATCGGTGACAGCCATCTTCGGTGACAGCCAATCGCTGCATGTTCGAGTACCCCTGAATTTCTTTTTCGGCCTACAGAAAGTACTTGTCGGTTGGGGCTTCGCCGCGAAGTCCATCGATATCGACGACATCGCGTGCTCCACGAAGATTGGGATCGACACTGTCTGTTGCCAGTGCCACTTCTGAGAATAAGCTGAAATCTACATGGCTGAAGCCGGAATGGAAAACGTTGGAAGAACCTCTCAACGACGAGGGTTGTAAAGCCTTGCTTGCCAAGTGCCAACAGTCATTACAGTGAGCCGCAGACAAGGGCAAGGGCAAAAGAAAAACTGCTAGGCAGAAGTAAGGACAGAACCAGTTACACCAAATTCCTCCCCCTACCCTGACAGGGGAAGTGCGCACTCACACAACAAGTGCCGGGTTAAGAAAGATCGCACATGGGACTTAACTATCATCAGCCCTTGGAGACATGTAGTGAGCATTGCTTTATTCAGCGAGACGTTTTTTTTGTTCGAGGGCACCGCTCTCACGCGCTCCCGCCGTTGGCCTGGCGGGCCACCAGGCTGCCGCTTATCGGAAGCCGGGCAAGGGCTGCTAAATCCGTGACTGCTAAAATCGACCTCGGGGAAGTTGTCTTCGTCCTTCCGGGAAGCAGCCCGTTGACTGTTTCGCGTGCCGCGCCTCATTCCGGGAAGTTGTTTTTTCCTTCCGGGAGGGCCGCTTTAGCAGCCACGGTTTTAGCAGCCCAGCTTCCGAGCCAAGCAGCGCCACGTTCGGCAGGTCTGTCAGCGCCATGGACGGCGACGGAACGGGCCGCCCGTGGCAACAGAGCGGCCGCCTCCTTGCACGCACCGGCAACGCACAACGGCTCCAGCCCCTCCTCCTCCTCCTCCTCCTCCTCCTCCTCCTCCTCCTCCTCCTCCTCCTCCTCCTCCTCCTCCTCCTCCATCCTTCACCTTCTCCCCGTCCTCCTCCGTGCGCGCAGGGACAATTAGCCAGCGAAGAGCGGTGTAACATAAACTGTTCCGTCGCCAGGAGCGCTGCCCCAGGGCGGCTGGAAAGCTTATGCCTCGACGCGCCACCGCAAGGGTACGAACCTTCTAGCCGCCCTGGGACGGGCGCCCCCGACAGCGCGAAAGTTTATTTCATACCGCTCTTCGCCCGTTAAGACTGGGGCGCGAGGACAGGGGACCACAGGACCGAACGGCTCGCGCGCGTGCCCGTTCTTCAAGGCTGCGGCGGCTCCTGTGCAGCACTCGCCCCCTCGAAGCCTCGGCGGCTTGCCGCTCTCTCGCACCGCGTGCGGGGCGCCACCGAGAGGCCGCCGAGGCGGACGACGGCGTCCTGGATCTCCTCGCAGAGGAAGAACATGTTCGAGATCGACCGCTCGACGACCCAGGTGCCGGGACTTCTGTCGACTTCGGAATACCCGTCGCGCTTCAGGTCGTACCCGAAGCCGTCGTTCAGCCTGCAGTGGACGCGGTGGGCGCCAGTCTTTTCGAGGGCTTTCTGGAGCAACTGCATCGCCATTCTCATCTTGAGGGAAAGAGCGTGCGCGTGTTTGTCCCAGATTGTGTGCATAATGCTTGCGGAAACATCGATATCAAACGACATGAAATTGCAGTCTTGCAAGACTAAGAGCACGATGTCAAACTCGCGCAACATCTGCTCCAGCAAGGGGAGCACAGCCGACAAGAGCTCGTAGTTGAAAGCGACGCGCCTGCCCCGCGATAGTACTTTGTCCGACTTGGTCTCCTCGAGGATGTCCTTTACCCTGAGGAAGAGCTGCTTTGCCTGCTTCAAGTTTCCTGGGTACTCTTCCATCGCGTGACCTTCGCAACTCTGGAGCTCATCCAAGACTTGCAGAATCAGGCCAGCCTTCGCCCCGCCATTCGCATGAAAGTCCCAGCACATCTCTCGCATCTCCCTGACCACTGTGTCGCGGGGGAAGGTGTTGAAACACACATCCATGAGGGCGTCGAAGACGCTGCGGAAGATGATGGCGAACGTCAGCTGGCCGACCTCCTTGTAGTTCTGGCTGAAGATGGCCGGACCCCACAGGAGGCACACGTCGTGGCCCCCCAGGGAGTAGCAGCCAAAGCCCGCGACCAGGCAGCACACGAAGCTCCACTGGCCGCCCGCGTAGTAGACGTACGCAAAGTAGCTCATGAAGACGTAGATCACGCCGAGGTGAACACATAGATCGGGGAGACGTAAGACTCGGGTACGGGGGACTCGGGTTGACCCGACGGGGCCATCATAAAAATGAAGAGGCCCCATCTGAAATTTGACGCGAGCTCCCGCTGCAGACATCCCACGAAAACCAGACCGTCAAAATCCAGGACGCGCTCGTCCAAAAAACGTCGGCAAACCCGACATCCGGCTTACTCGGGTCTTGCGTTCCCCCGAATAGACTCGCCAGACCTTCGCATCCGAACAGCGACGTCAAACTTATGGCCAGGACGGGGATGGCCTTTCCCATGACCACCCCGAGCAGCCTTTGTAGGTTCCGGTTGAAGGTGGACCCGACGCGCTGGCTCCCGAGGAGAACAGCAAGCGAGCTGGTCAGATAGCTGCTGTACCCGTCGAACACGCCGCCGTCGAACCAGTAGCCCATCCAGAAGGCGGCGCAGATGACGATCGCATTCCTTGCATTCCAAGAGAAGGCATCCATGAAGCCCTTTCGATCGAATTTACGTTCTACGATGGTGCCCTCTTCATCACGCACCGTTTCCCTCCAAAAAACCGATAACATGCTGTCTACGAGTGCATGCCAGAAGACAGACAGCATGTGTTTCCACCGATCATCATTCGATTGCCTGTCTGTTCCAAACCTAGGATGGTTGGTATAATTCAACACCTCGTTCGCGAAATAACCAACCGCGTAGATCATGACGGCCGCAAAGCGGTTGAGATCCTGGCTGCACCCGTTCACGAGCTCGTCGCGCGCGAGCTGGACCTCGTCCTCCTGCTGCCTGATTCTCCCGAGCAGGTCACGCTTCGCAGCCTGGTCGACAGACACCGACAGTTCTGCAATGTCCTTGAGCATGGCAGAACACGTCTTCTGGCAGGTGTCCAGCTTGACCCAGAGTTCCAAGGGTAGATCGTTCTCATCACCTTCCCTGGTCTCGTGCCTCGCGTGGCCCGCGACAGCCTCCTGGACGATGTGGCACATCTCCTCGAAGCCGCCCGGCCTCCCGAAGCGATCGTCGAACTGAAAGTGCACGGCAAAGTGCTCCATTTGCATCCGCAATTCGCCAGCGTTCCTATGCTCTGCGGTTAAACCGCAGTAGCTCTCCCACCAGGTGATAGAAAGGTTTTTGATCATCTCGTCGCAAGCGCCGTTCATGTCCTCCACCAGCTCCCGGACCTTCGTCCTGTACGCCCGTCGCTGCTCGTCGCCGTCCACGGGGCTCTTGGGGTTGAAGAAGGCCGTGGAGTAGTCCATGATCTCCGCCACCTGCCTGCCGATTGCCACGGGGCCCCACTGGCCCGAGCATCTCGCGTTCGCGCTCACCCTGGGCAGCAGCCTCCTGGACGCCAGTGTCAGGATAGCAAGGAACGCGCCGAGCAGTGTTGTCAGCAATACTGCGTGCGACCTGTTTGACGCTGAACTGCTCATGTAGCTCATCATGAACAAGGAACTGTACGACAGGCACCACTTCTTGACGGGCAAGCTGATGTTCAGGAAAAATGTTGCGGCCACTCCGACATTTACGTCGATGATCGCCAGGACATACCCCCACTGGTCATACCCATCGCTCTTATATGTACCATCCTTGCATTGCTTCTTCAAGCCCCACGACTTGGCCTCTTCTGGAACACAGGAGCCTCCATGCTCGAACGCTCGTAGCATGTAATGATAGTTTATGTTGGCGAGGACAGTCCCGATAACACCCTGATAAACTTGCTGCATTGTGGTGGGGAAGTCCAGGTACACGGAGAAAAACATGAACTGAAATATATTTGGCCAGTACGCGACCAGGTCTGGCGAGTCCAGAAGGCCAGGCAAGTCCAAGCCTTTCATTCGATCGAGCTCTTGACGAGTTGACGGATCCTCCGCCTTCCATGCGGTGAGGTTCCCCTGGAAGATGTGACGGGTCCCTGGTATGAAATACATCTCCCTGGTGAACAGCATGGCGGATATGTAAGTGGAGCAGATCGGGACGAAGAACAGGGTGATCGTAAACCCTGTGAACAAGGCCAAGTTCCTGTTGGTCAAGTACGTTGGGGTGACGTCGTCGTCGTGGCTGAAGTGAAAAGCGTCTGCATTGAAGTGGGCGTCGTGGCTGAGATCACGTCGTCTTTGAAGTAGCGGCTCAGTCGAAGGCATGCCGATTGAAGGTAGCGCCTGGGTTACGCCGTGAACGGTGGGCCATGTGCGGCACAGCCACAAGCCGAAGAGCTTGAGCCAAAATGGCTACGGACATTGTTTTCTTCAGCGAGATGTAGGCACCGTCATCTGACCTCACATTGGACAGCGGCCACGAACTATTTCTCGATCTGGGGAACCATGTCGCTGCAAGCGTCGGCATCTTGTTGGTACACGAGCGCCATGTCCCCAACACCCGCAAAATCCGCAAATGCACCGATCGTGTTCTCAATGTCGATATGTGTATGCATAAACGCCTATACGCATGCTTCGCGGTATATGTGTATATGTGTGTATGTGTGTATGTGTACATGTATGTATGCATGCATGTATGTATGTATGTATGCATGTATGTGAATACATAGACACACCTATATATAACCCGCCAGCTAGACTCGCCCAGGATGTCTTCGAATTGTTTAACAACGACCTCGATGGCATGGCGCGCACGGCCCAGAAGACGAACAAGAACAGCCTTGTTGCTAGTGGGGGCGATTGGAATTCCAGGTTCAATACTGGGCCACGCGGGCAGAGACATCAATAATTTACAGCATTTCGCGGCCTTCACAAATAGCGGATCTCCCGCCAAGGTTGCCTCACGCAGATCTACAGCAATTCTGGTCAAGCACCGGCATTGAGAGATGTACTGACTTTCCGATTCTACCGCACACGGCACGGGTGGAGCACACTGTAACAATCAATTATTTGCGTTTGGATTCCGGCCATCGGAATCTATACTTTGTGTACGTGCCAAGATACCTGACCAGAGACACCGCCGATGCACCCTAATATTGTCTGTAAAACGCAGGAGGCCACGACTGCTACCAGATCTAAAGAGCGCGCTGGCGCGCGAGCCTTTGTCGCGCAATACCACGACTCCGGCAGGCGGGTAGTGAGTCTGACGACGACAAGCGCGCTATGATGATAATGATGGTAATGAGCAACCACATCCACCGCAGACGACTGGACAGACGGTCTTGCCAGCGCCAACGACGGCCCTACAAGCCTGCAGTATCGCCCAGGAACCAAAAGATATAGCCAGGAATCGTGAGGATTACGTTAGATTCCAGAATGGATTCCCGAATTCTCCCAGACTCCTACGGGTTCCTACAGATTCCTCCTCCGGGTTCATTCCGGGATCGCTTCGTCTCCTCAAGGTAACCCTAGCGAAGGAGGAAACCGACAGAAAACCAAAGGAATTCGAAGGAAACGTTAGGGAACCTTAGGAAGCCCAAGGAATCCGAAGGAAGCCAAGGGAATCCTGACGAATCCGAAGGGAACCGCAGAACCCCTCTGAAGTCGAAGGTAACCGTAAGAGAAAGAGACGGAAAGAACCCAAAGGAACCCCAAGTCATTCGGAAGCCTCCACGAAGCTTATCTGGTGGGGTCTGGCCCGTGCAGGCATCCACCGGTGTGGATCATGCGATTGGGGCTCACCCGACACGTTTGGGTCTTACCCCTTCTCCCTGCTGGTGTCTCTCTGACTCTTCAGTTGGCTCCCTCCTCCCCTCAGCACCCGCGCGCCGCGCAGCACTCGGCTCTGGCGCGGCGCAGCACTGGCGCGACTCAACAGTAGAAACAGGGCAGGGAGGCAGGGGACCAACCTTAGAAACCCTCACACACCCCGAGGGAGCCGCAATCACTTCAGAGAACGAGAGCCTCAGACGACGTGATGAACCCCAGCGAACCCCCAGGAACCCCGAGGATCCCTGAGGGTGGGTGTGCCGAGGCCTCGCCTGGTGCATGATCATGGGCGCCTTGCGGGCGCACGGGGTCCTCGGGGGGCCTTCATGAAGGGGCCCCAGGACAAACAAATAAATACACACAAATGAACATAGTCCCTATAATTTCCTATACTTTGGGGGTTTTTGTCTTCCCCCCCACTTCCCATATGTTTGCATCTTTTCCGGGGAGTCGACGATGAATTGTGTCTGTGTGTTTTTTCCCCTCCTGACTTCAGACCCTCCCCATGCGCCCGCCGGGCTCGCCTGAATCTCCCTGCCAACCACTGCCAGAGCCATTGCGCTACCGTGAGGGACGCTGGATACGGAACGAAGGGGCTCTCCTGGCCGCGGGGCGGGCCCGACAAACGAGCCTAGTTCCTGAGAAGACAAGTGAAGCCCCCGAAGCGCAGGCACGGTTCGGTGAATTGTTATATGATACCAGAGAAAAACCCCAATCATCATTTGCGACCGGGGGTATAGGGCTACAGGGCTACAGGGCTATAAGGCTATAGGGCTATAGGGTTGTATGGGCTATATGGGCTATAGGGCTATTGGGCTATAGGGCTATCGGGCTATAGGGCTATTGGGTTATAGGGCTATCGAGCTGTAGGGCTATCGAGCTATAGGGCTATAGGGCTATAGGGTTAAAGGGCTAAAGGGCTACAGAGGCAAGCTCTGATTGGGGAATGTTTAAAAGGAAACTGCAAGGCAATTCCATTTCAAAACGAGCCTATCACCTGACTGGCCAGCCCATGGGGTGTTCGTGTTTTAAGGGGCCGATTCTTGAGTGGACACGCAGGCTTGTAGGGACTGATAGGATAAGGAGAGGACTTGAGACGGAAAGGTTTGTTGCAGCGTCGTTGGTACATCCTGGGTTCACTCTGGACCTCCTCTCCCTCCTCCTCCTCCTCCTCCCCCTCCCCCTCCTCCTCCTCCTGCTCCTCCTCCTCCTCCTCTTCTTCCTCCTCCTCCTCCTCCGCCTAGTCCTCCTCCTCCTCCCCCTCCTCTTCCTCCTCCTCCCCCTCCTCCTCGTCCTCCTCCTCCTCCTTTTCCTCCTCCTCCTCTTCC